CATTAGTCTCGTTGGCAAAAATCTTTTTTTATTTTCATCATATTTTAATTTTCTGGAAACAATATTTGTGTGTTTTCGTCTCATTATCGTCATAGGAAAAAGGAGCGTTGACAAAATATTTTTGTCATCGTCATGGTTGACGAAATTAACCCTGGTTGGCGATGAGCACAGAATCTTCTCACTGAAATCTCTGAGCATTCCTGAACGCCTCCCTGCTGCAGCGCTGCATGGCTTTAACCTTCCTGAAACAGCGGTAGTTCCACTGATCCTCCATTAGAGACATTAAACTAAAGCGGTCTGTTGTTTTACCGAGCTGCCTGCAGCGTTTCCATGCAGACTTTACCTGAACCGGATCAGATCAGGGTCATTCAACTTGCTTGAGGTCAACAAATAATAAAAAAAAGATAATGATGGTTATTCGTTTTTCCATTTTCGATTTTATGCACAAAATCGGAAAATGGATAACGGCTCATTTTCTGTTTTTTTTCCCTTTTGTTTTGAAAACAAATAGTGAAAAAGCTTTAATTTGAAAAACCAAAAAAAGAATGATGAACGGATTCTCTCTGAGCCACCAGCAAAGCTCAGCACTGTTCATCTGGTTTTCCTATTTCTGCTTTTTAGCTTCGTCCACTTTGCTTTCTGACCGACACCACGCCTGAGTCGGCCTCCTGTTCTCGGGTTACCCGGACCGCTGCGTGATATTGCATAACATTTATTACTGACAGCGCACTGCGTTTGATTTGCATACAGCAGCAGAACTGGAATCCGCTTTGGTCTGTATTTCTAAATGTAATGAAGTGAAAGCAGGGAGTTCGACAGTCGTTTCCTGCTCCTGTCAGACGGCTCTGCAGGTTCGACCAATCAGTGCCGGGAGAAGTGAGGAGGCAGCTTCACGTGGAGGAAACTCTCTTTTTCTCTAACTTTCCACGCATACATAAGCGTGCAAACCTCCAACGCACACAGTCACAAACACAGGTGTATCCACACACTTTTCCAACTGCACTCTGCTCATGTGTGAAATGAGCAAAGGTCTTATCTCTGGGAAACACACCACTGAGCCAGAGGAGAAGGGGAGAGAGGGAGACGCACAGTGGGAGAGACAGGGAAAGATGGAGGGAGGGGGGGTGTCATGTGGTGTGCATTCTGATGACAGTAAACTTGGAATTTTGCTGCAGACGCTTAAAATAAACTCAATCCACCTTCGCAGTTCATTGGAAAGCCTTCATATTTGGAGCAATGATGGTTCAGAGCAGCTGCTTCATGCTAGGCTACGGTGCTAGCTGCAGAAACCTTTCGGTTAGACTAACGTTACTCCACAATAACCCAAAAAAAAGACCAACCAGTCTAGCATGCAGAAGACTGCATGTTTGGAAGT